AATCCCCGCGAGCGCAAGCACGCACCGCCGTTCTAGAAGATTCACTTCACTGCAGCCGTCTTATTTTGCTCGCCTATCCATTTCTTACCTCCTCTGCCTACTCTCACCACGTTCTCCTTCACCATCGTATGCACCCACCGCCCGCCCCCTCCCCCCTCCGTCCCACTGGAATCTCTGTTTGCGTACCGATCTTCCTTAAATTTTGTTAGAGCCTGTCCTCTTCGGAAGGGTGGAAAAGCTTTATTTATACTCTGTCCAGGCATTTAGGATATAATTTTTTTACAAAGTATCCTCTTTCCTCTTGGTCCTGCCCTGCACCGTCGGACCCTCTCTTCCACCTTGTTTCTGCCCACCTTGGACGCCCAGTTTGATTGTGGTTTCGTCCCAGCCTTACCACCACATTGTACGTATGTACCCAACCCGCTCGGCGCATACGCTGCGTGATCTGTGTATTGTTTTTGAAGTGCTGATCTTGTGAAGAGGTCTGTCAAAGTTCGATCCTGTCTAATGAAATAATGGGGCTAGGGGGGGGGGTGGACGTAAGCATCTCTGCTACAAAATCGCTCGGCGTTGGGCCATGATATGAAGGTAGTCTGTTGATAATTTCTTTTACTCTGGTAAGTGACGTTAGTGGGGGATGCGCCGGGCAGTCCAACTAGTTTATACGCGAAGTGTCCAGTACTGCTCTGAAACCGGCGGTCCGGTCAGATTTGTTTCGGTGCTTGTCAAGGTTTGAAGCCTTGGGGAGCCTTGTCGAGTTCTGCTTCTAGTTATCTAAAGTAGCTGGTGCAGGTGGGTGAGGGAGAAGTGAGGTGGATGCGGCGCAAGTCGCTGTTCCTGCGCCCATTTTACTGTGGACATCGTCGTCGACGTCAGAACGACGTGATCTCCGTTGTCAGGTAGTCTGGGTGTTGATTTTACGATTGGCTGAGAGGCTGTTGCCAGTATCCCTGGTGAGCCTCAAGCGGATGGAACATGCCAGTGAGTGGGGTGGTGGTAAACCAGGCGACATAATCGGTGGAGGGAGGCAGTGCGCGTGGACTCGGGTCTGAGCTGCTATGTCGGGGCTACAAGTTCCGAGGAGGTGAGGCTCGTCGTCGGGAGGCGTTCAATGCACTGGACAAGGGCTGCGGCGTCGGCATGTGGGTTTCCCTCAGTTCGTTGGGAGCGGTTGCTTCCACCAGATCGTAACTGGCCACCTGTCAGTGCAGTCGCCCGTTGGTGGACTGTCGGCTGAGGCCAACACCGAAGACTGCAGGGCTTAGGATGCGCTGGAGCTCGGCTGTCGCTACGTCCGTCCGTCCGAGTCTGCGCATGTTTACCTCCTCCACGTCACCAGCCACGACCGGATTTAGGAAAGTTATGTTGAGGTCGGCGCAGCACGTGACCGAAGCACGTCTGTCGACTCAGGGCGAGTGCCCCTTGGCCTCAGACTGATTTCTAACGGACTACATTGCCCAATCCTCGTGACCGGGCAGGTGCCTCAAAATGCGGAAAGTTCAGGGTTGTGGACTGTGCTGACATAAAGATGCGGAGAGGTGTCTGTGGGCGTCAAGGGAGGGGTTGTCAGCAGCTCTGGGAGAGGGGACACCGGCTACCTTCACCGACACACGGTCACACCTCTCCCACTCTGAATCTGCGCCGAAATAGCTTCTGTCTACTTAAACAGCCCTACCGATCTTGCGGTGCGATACACAGTGACAGTATCAGTGAGTCAATCTCCCGATTAACTTTAACGTAATTAATTGTCGTAGCATCATTTACCGCTACCGGCGCTGAATGAGGGAGCTGTTAGGTGTGTGGTGTCATGGCAAATACGTCCTGTAATCACTGCATGCCCGTCTGCCTCCATCGCGCTTACTTCCCACTGTCTCTGATGCTGAGTTCGAGTGAGAAGCCAAAACTTGTTTTCCCAGCGTACTCGCCCTCCCTATTCATCTGTCCTGCGTGCACAACCCCTCCCGCCCGACAAACTAATTTGACCTTGACGCTTCTCTGGGTGAGCTTTCCCACTTATCCGAATATCAAAATAACTGGCCCAAATCACGAACTAGCGGGTCGGTACGGTCTGACGTCATTGCAACTAGCCAAGTCAGGCTTCCTTTTGTGGTGGTTGCCGGCCGCGCGACTGGAGTGCGACCTTCAACTTAGCCACACACTGCTTGGTATGCAGAGTGGGTTTTGCGCGTCTTTTTAAATGCTCGCTCCTCGCTTGTTTGACAATCGACCTGGCGGCAAAACCGGATGTGGCGTTTTGTCTTCCCGTCTAAATTACCTCCTTAAATTCACACAGGCTCTAGTCTCCAGTCTTCCGCCAGTGTGACCTACGTATTTGCTGGGACATTTAGCGCAATGGCCGCAGTAAATAATGCTCGGCGACTGTACCAAGTGCGTAGGCCTTGGCTGCACATCTGTGTGTAAGCCAATGCATCTCAGATTTTGTCACTGTCAGGTTCTGCCTGCTTTTGATGACGCTACACGCATCCGATGCCTGAAACACTGAGATAGTCTTTTCCACTGAATAAATGAGGCTAATTGTTTATTGATCCCACCTATCGACCCTTTGATTTTAACAAAACCCAGTCTCTCAGCGTTGGTCCCGGACTTCTAACTTGGGAAGCAGACACTCCCGTGGGCAGCAGCCCATGTGAGGTTCCACAACCTCAACGCACACTTTCCACTGAGAAGGAACTCACTGAATAGGTCTACTTTAATTCACTCAATAGCCCCCACACAATAAACATAGTTCGGTAATTATGACCGCCGTCACACTATGGCAAAATAGGCCCTTTTGCTTGAAATAAATCTGTGCGTAAGGTTATCACTCTGGCGACTCTGAACAGCGCAGAGAATCCGTTGACATTTATTCATTATTCGTTTCCTTCTGGTGATGTATATTCAAATGTCCGACTCTCTGCCCAAATGCAGATCCAGTCTGCCGACTAACTCTTGTCACTTGCGATGGCGCGACAGGTCACTGTTGTGGCGGATTTAGAGAGTTCGGCTCTGATGACCCCATCTGCCGACAGAATAAACAGGCGGCAACGGATTGTTAGCTGAGTTAAAGGTCATCTACGTTCATCGACGCAACCGCTGCGCGTTCTCACAACCACTTGGTTCCGAGGCCGCGAAATGTGGCAACATAAACACACAGGACAGTTCGGCAGTCGCACACGACAATGTCCACCACATTATGGGCGCAGGGACGGCGACTTGCGAGTTGATTAGTTTATAGTGATAATGCGCTTGCGCCGCACCTACCGCACTCGCATTTCTCTTACTCGAGCTCGGTGTTGAGGAAGAATCAAGAAGACCGGATGCGGAGTGGAGCGCAGGGGCTGACACAACGAGGCAGCCTGTCTATGCGAGCCACGCATGGCACGGTCCGCGCACAAGGGACCAGGTTCTCACAGATAGGAGAAGTGGGCGGCTTTCATCCCATCTGAGCGAGAGTGCCGTAGAGGCGCCATCGCAGTCTGACTCTCCGTCCTGAGTGAACCGATTTACCCCGTCAGTTGGCAGCCTTCAGAGCCATGGACAGTTTCTTTTGCCTTTTTTGGCAATCTCCTTCCGTACCCATGAAATTTCAACCGAAATGCGCTTTCGTTTCGAAACGATTAATTAAGTACGGTTATAAAACTAGTCAGCCTGCAACATAATTCTATAATATTTCAGTTACCTCAGGATGCCGGCTTTCGAATTAACTTCCTTCCGGCTGCATGCAAAAATTGCGCACTGTGTAAATGGCTACTTAATTAGCATACATTTTCTCATTGATTTTCGATGCCCTTAAAGGTTCGATTATATTTCATGGAAAACATGCATAACAGTATTCATTCTTTTGCTCATTCGGTAGAAAATTACTTTTTTCTAATTTTATGTTCGAAGGAGGGACATACGTCAGTTTTAAAAAAGTTTCTACTCGAGGGACGTTTAAATACCATGAAATGACCGTTCATAAATAGTCATGTCTCTGCACTTACCAATGTGGCTCTTAAATTTAACAGTATCTATCAAATCCACTGACAACTTTTATGAACCCTATATGTTCTATTCTTAATACCGTTGAGAAATGTATGGTTTCCCGTACGTGGAAAATATACGGCTTGTAGTTTGGAAACCCCGAATCCAACTTTAACGGTAGAGCGGGTTCAAAATTATTGGGGAATTTGAATCATATCCTTTCTTCGAGTTTAAGATTGGAAGAGAACGTAATTTTCTCCCAAATGAGCCAAAGGATGGATATTTTTATGCATGTTTTCGATAAAATACAACTGGACATTTAGGGGCCTCGAAAATCAATGAGAAAAACTCATGCTTCTTAAGTAGTCATCTTTTACAGAGTGCAGTTTTTGCATCCAGCCGAAAGGAAGCTCATTCGAAAGCCGACACCCTGAGGTAACCGAAATATTGTTTAATCATGTTGCAGGCCTCCTAGTTTTACAACCCTACTTATACTCGAAGGAAGGGTATAATTAGGTCTGCAAAAATCTTTCCGATTCCGGAATAAATTTGAACCCGCTCTGCCGTTACATTTGGCTTCGGGGTTTCCAAACTACAAGCCGTATAGTTTTCGCGTACGGAAAACCACACATTTATCTACGGTAATAAGGGAGGACCATATAGGGTTCATACAATTTAGCAGTGACTTTGATCCATATTGTTAATTTTACAAATCACATTGGTAAATGCAGGAATATGACGATTTATGAACTGCCACTTTAGGGTATTTAAAAGTCCCACAATTAGAAACTTTTTTGAAACCTAATTATATCCTTCCTTCAAGTAGTAAATTGGAAGGGGACATCCTTTTATACCGAATGAGGAAAAGAATGAATACTTTTATGCTTGTTCTCCATGGAATATAATTGGACTTTTAGGGGCATCGAAAATCAATGAGAAAAATGCATGCTTATTGAGTAGGCATTTTTACATAGCTCAGTTTTTGCATGCAACCGGAAGGAAGTTTACTCGAAAGCCGGCATCTTGAAGTAACTGAAGTATTATAGAGTCATGTTGCAGGCCGACTAGTTTTAAAACCCTACTTGATTAATTTTTTCGAAACGAAAACGCATTTCGGAATTTCCGTTGGCATTTTATGAATCAGCCCACCTACTGTAGTACCAGTGGCCAGGCGACTGCATGCTGGGCTCTTGATCGATTGAACAAATGATTCGAGTAACTGAGCTGGGATCGCCAATTTACCATTGTTAATGTTCCCGATCGAAGCCGACAGGATGAGTCCCTGGCTCATTGATTAGGGCGTCGGGTCGCGGGTTCGAGTCCCAGGGTTTGCATAAAACTTGATATTGATTATGAAAAAAACTGACGACGGCTAATAGGACAAAAATGACCATTCCAGAGGTTCTCTTGTTTTTGTCGGCAGTTGCAATGTCACGAATGTCGGAGGTGTGCCATGGCATTGTGGCTGACAAAACTAAACAGCCCGCCTGCGCGTGCTACACACGACCTGTTTCCCGGGCTGCTATCAAGGTGGCTCGGATATCGCATTTGTAACAGTGCAATAGTGGCCAGTCATGAAAGAGCATCTACGACCTGATTTTCAGTACTAAGAGGGGCCGGATAATCCGGTCAGTTAATGGACTTCTAAGCCGCAGTCGGTAGATGGTGAGATAAAGGTTGTTTTCTGCACAGAGCTTAACAAAATACATCCGGAAAAACTGAACGACCACTTCGGACATGGATGACTGAGCACGCAGCGGCAGCAGCAGTGGGGAGAAACGCCACCAACTCCCAATTTGCCGTCCATTCGATGGGAGCCAACCACACATTCAAGTTTAACGAAGCGTTAACTCTTGCTGAATGCAACAACCGCCTGCGCCGCGAACTGCTCAAGTCATTGTTCTTCAGTCTTCATTTAATTAAGAAACGCAACGAAATCCACACTTCATATTCGGCGCCGAGACTTTGTCTAGGCAAAGTAGTTAACCGCGAGGACAGCGTGCGGATGACCACTGTTCCTGGTATCAATGTCGGCGAGCCAAATTGCCCAGGAGTCCGCATGGATAACGAATTCCGGTAGTCTGTAACTCGACTGCGTGCGATGAGCGTGCCGGCCAATAATCTAGACCAGCGCATAAGCATATAGCAACTATACGGCAATCGCATACTTCAACACATGGCCAGCCGATCCGTGATGCACTTGGGAGCTGTCAGCTGTGATTGGCATGTACCGGCCTAGCAACAACATCCAATTAATACTACAACACCTGCGCAATTTACTGCCCCTAGCTGATCTGTCTCTAATGATGGATTCGAGCGAAAATCCGAAGCGTCAGTCTAATAAAGCTCCTACTCCAGCGATCTTGTCTCCTTCTTCGTGACTACTTTCTGGAACTCGCCGCTTCGATTCTATTAGCACATCCGTTACTTTTATACTGATCTCCTGTGAGAAGTTGAAATACTGTGTCCCATTATGAGTGTACAGTGCCCATTAATGCATTAAACGGACTGTTCGCCCATCGTCGGTCAAAACTCGAGATTGGCGTTCAGATTTTCGTTAAACCCCTCCCCTACCTTGTCACTGATTTCCATTTCCTGGGGTTCAAGGTACGGTAGTCGAGAACGCGACATTTCCTAAATCACTAGGCACAGCGAGCCACTGTGTGATCGTTGATGGGACCACCGGTTCCGCAGGATGCCAACGATATCTGACGAAAAGTTGAGATGCGATGGGTTGACAACAGAAAGGTTCCGAAAGCACAAGTCAGGGAGGACAGAGCTATTAAACAGGTTTTAATGGATCGTACAGGTAACTCAGCTAGCGTTTGCGGTAAATCATCTCCCCAGGTGTGTTTGTGTGCTGCTGAGGTTGATGGGCCCCGGCGCTTGGGCCTGGCTTTGTTCGTCTGCAGCCAATCAGCAAAGAAGGCTGCCCTGATTGGCTCCGATCTCGCACCATGCCAATGCCAAGTCTAGAGCAGCTCCGGCAACAAATTAACAGGCAGCGTGACGAGGACAGATAGGCGACATGAGTAGGCAGTCGCGGGAGCGGACTGTCGCAGGGGGGTGATGGCAATGGAAAATGCGTTCCGGTTGAAATGGAATTGACGGTTGGTTCCATGGGAAGAAAAGGCAGCTTCTTGGCTAGGTTGTTCCTGGTGAGGAAAGAGACTGCGGCATGTGGCGGTTGCACGTGATGAGGGTGCCACCAGACGTCCCCGTTCAGAGACGCCGGTCACACCGAGTGCGTTGATGTCCACATTGAAACGACCCAGTTCTCTGCCATCCAGAGTTGCCGTCATCACTGGCTGACCGTGTAAATGGACTATGCAGGAGTCGACAGACGACCAAAATTATCATGGTGCGCGAACTTAGTTTGGTAGGAAGAGGAGAGGATGAGAACAGTAATGGTTGCTGCTGCCCATATGTTTGACATAAACGAGCAGCACCGTATTTGTGAATGAAGTGGTTGTCGACATTTTAGGGTACGATTTCCAACTAATTCCTCACTAATTCTTAAGCTACGATCCACTGAAAAGGGCCGCACAAATGCTGTATTTGCTAGGGAACTATGTATTAAACCCTCCACAGGACATAAATAGAGTGGTTAAGAGTAGGAGAAGAAGAAGAAGAAGAAAAG